GCTCGCTGGCAACCTCAAATTCAATTATGAAAAATTCACGACATTGTTAACCAGAATCGAAGCCGTTCTCAACTCACTGCCTCTTGCTGCACTCTCGCAAGACCCCTCCGACTTTGCTGCCCTTACTCCAGGGCATTTTCTTAAAGGAGCGCCCATTCTAGCCACACCTGAGCCAGGCATGGAGTCGCCGTCCTTACTAAACAGATGGGAACGAATTAAAATTCTCCATCATAACTTCAGCCGACGATGGAAAGAAGAGTATTTAAAAGAAATTCACAAAAGGTATAAATGGAAAATCCCAGAACAGGCTCCAATGCTTGGAGATTGTGTCCTAGTTCACGACGATTGTCTGCCCCCCACAGAATGGCGGCTGGGCCGCATAGAGAAACTGTACTACGGTTCCGACGGTCACATCCGGGTGGTTGATCTCCGTACGCAAAACGGAACGCTAACCCGGCCGCTTGTCAAATCATGTTTCTTACCAACTGCCGCCACTTACGAAAACGTAAATAATAACCATTCCTAAACCGATCCGAAAAGACGGGAAAAAGAAAATAAATTAATAATATCATTAAGAAAAACCGCAAGGATAATTACAATAAGCTTCAAGCCGTAAGACAAACGTAGACCTACATATATATCGCAACCCCATAGACGGACGATTATTTAGTCATGCCCCCTAACGTGGCACCCTGTTCATGCACGCTTACAGGCAATCAAATTATAATCATTACGATTTTCTCTTTCTTCTCACAGATTGAAATGGATACACCTGTAAATCCCACGCCAACTCTCCGTTCGGCTGTTACTGTGCCTCGCTCCGGAATTGTTCCAGTAGCAGCGCCCCGAACCATCACGGCAGCAACGGCGCCAACCGTGGCACGAAGCTCAACACGCGCAGCACCGACGCCGGCGCCTCCGAAACCGCACCGCACCAGATGTTCGCTCTGTTGCCGTTCTCATAGGCTGCAGCATTACTCTATTTTCAAGGGAATGTTACCCGTACAACGTCAGAAGGTGGCACAGGCACATTGTTTGCAACCTAACCATGTGGCACGGCATCCAGAAGCTGGATGGTCCTGGCGCCCCCTCAATACGACATCCACGCGCAACCAATTAAGGCCACAACCTCACCACCCCACCGGCCTGAGCGGCGTTGTAGCTACGTTACGGGCACTACAGCGTCTACTAGGCTAGTACTCGCCTAGGGGGGCCGGGATGTTGAAATGAACTCCAGTCGCCCGAACTAATTTAACTAAAAGGCATCACTGATCAGTGAATACAACACTCTCCACATCAACATGTTAATTAGAAAACAGGGCATCACTGATCATCTCCACACCAAACTGTTTTTGTTCCATTTTTCATTTTATACAAACGAGAAGGTGATGCTGTGCCGTTTTTTT